CAAACCAGGGTAAGGAGCCCCAAAGCCCCAAACCAGGGTAAGGAGCCCCAAAGCCCCAAACCAGGGTAAGGAGCCCCAAAACCACTAGAATCCAGACAACAAACCAGGGTAAGGAGCCCCAAGACCCCCAGAAACAACAAACCAGGGTAAGGAGCCCCAAAACCCCCGAATCCAGACAACAAACCAGGGTAAGGAGCCCCAAAGCCCCACAAACCAGGGTAAGGAGCCCCAAAACCCCCAGAATCCAGCCCCCAAGGGGTCGATCGCGATTTACCGGTTGATCTCCAAGGTGCTATCGGTAGATCGCATGACAAGGTGAGGTGACATTGTCACGAACTGATGCTATACAAATAAAGTTGAGTTGTTTTGAATAAATACTAGACGTCAGCCTATCAGCCGTCCCGTCACCTGATTGATCCACAGGACAACCAGTCAGATGACATCAGATTTTTTTTACGTACAATTAGGTCACTGTGCGTAGTCAAACAGCTAAGCTAACAAGCTAACAAGCTAGTCGTTAGTTACATCCTAATTTTTCGCGCGTTTTTTTCCTCTTAAACGTAAGATAGGTTATGAAAATGAGTGGGGAAGCTGGACCAAGTAAAAAGAAAAAAACGTATGACTTTCATACGGCATGGTAGGAGTCATCAGAGTGAACTCGGGTAATGGCAAAAAATGTACATAATTATGTTGTGTTGTGCAACATATGTGGTTATACATCAACATAAGTTGTAAGAATCCTCAATATATTTCTCAATAAATCTAATGGGTAGATCATTTTGACATGGTCATTTGAAAAGTAGCTCCCATGCTGAAAAGTGTGAGCACCCCCAAACCAGGGTAAGGAGCCCCAAGACCCCCAGAATCCAACCCAAAAACGGGTCCAGTTCCCCCTTCAACCTGTTTTTAAAGGGACATTGTGTAGTATTTTAAGTATTTTATTAGCTAAAATCATCTTCTTAATTTCTAAATGTGTCCTCATTTGCTGTAAAATAACTTCTGCAATAATCTAACTTCTCCTAATAAGGAAGAGTTTCCTATCTGTATAAACACAGGACAGGTAGGTCCACGGAGGTTTCCATGGCGATCCGCAATTTTGAAAAACCATAATGGCAGAGAGGGACATAAAGCACTAGTCTGCCTGCCTAGCTGATCCACAACGCGTTTTCCTTCAGAGTCACGTGACTGAAACTTATTTTAAATGAATTAACAATTTTTAAACTAACTTGAATTAATTTATTTTAAATATCCTTATACCTGACGGCTACCGTAGCAGCAATACCCATTTGGAAACAGAGGGGCTAGAGAGCAGATTTGTTAGGATGCTAAATACAAGGCTTATTTCAGATCATATCTACTCCAATTAAACAAGCTAATTAACCTGCTCACACACGGCAGCTAAAACATTTCTTAAAAGGGGAAAATATTTATTTATTCTGGTTTATTCTACTGATCAGGCCACCATGTACCCCAGTGTATTCTGCTGGTTTTATTCGCCAGACTGAGCTTATTTAGTAAATATTAAGAAAGTACACAACCAACTGCCACGAACAGACAATTTGAAATTTAGAAAATAAAACATTAGACGGAAAAAAAAAGGGGGTTTTATCCCATTTCAGGAGGAATTTAGAGCCGTATTTTGTACATTAAGTTCCCACTAAAAACAGCTTCCCTAAAATCTCTAAAAAAAAAATTAACACAAATCCAAAGGACAAAGTAATAATGAGAAGAAAAACAGAGGAAATCTTCAAAGAGTCTTTTTGATTTATTGCTAGTGCTAAATTCTTTTGATCCGACCTTTTTAAAGTGGAGCAAAGCAGAAGAACCAATCACAGCTTAGCTTGTTGGCGCCATGGAAACTGTGTTTTTCCTCCGCGTCTCAAATGGGGCTTCTGTGTCCCAACAGGTCTGATTTCTGTTCCTGAGAAGATCCCCGAGGACACGGTGATGGTGGACCTCCAAAACAATGACATAACAGACATCAAAGAGGACGACTTCAAAGGCCTCAAGAAGCTTTATGTAAGAGGAACCCTTCAAAGGATTTGGGCTCAGAAACGTAGCGAATGGTTAAAATGAACTACAACCAGACCTCTAAAGGACTTTTCCACCATTTTGGATTCTCCTCCAACCTACCAGAAAACCATTTATTGACAGCAGAGAGTCAATAATCAACCCAAAAT